ACCCGCGATGGCCCAAAACGCCTCATCTTGAGAAATTTTATCTTTCATAAATGCAGATGTACAGAAAGGACGTCTTTTCATTTATTAAGGAACCTTCAATGTTTCCACACACTTGCACAATGCCCACATACAAAGTCATCGTTGTGAAAATGTACTTTCACAGAGTCAAATCTGCATAAAATGAATTAGAACCCTCTAAACGTCTCTAAACAATGTATACCCCCAGTACGAAAATGAGGTGAAGACGAAATACACAGCATGGCAAACTGTAAGAGATAATGCTGACAATTTAAAATAGTGGGGAAAAACTGAAAAAAGAAAAATGCCAGCAACAGGAAAAGAAAGTTCAAAATTTGAAAAAGCACATTGCAGGGATAGATTACGGCCAACTGCACAGGGTCGTCTGTAAGAACTGGCTGCCTGTCTGGAGCATCAACTATCCTTGAAGTCCTGCGTCACAATGAACGCCTGCTCTTTCCCTTCTAGGACACGGGTCTCCTCAGAGGACAGGCTCACGCTCGCTGTCTCCGTGGCGCTGCTCTCTTCACAGTTCTTCTGTGCCTCCACGTATGCCGACATAAGCTGCCCTGTTAGACTTTCCCAGCTTCTGTGCGGTGCTTCTGTGCTGCCCTGGGCACGAAAGTATGTTCTGAGCCACGCATGCTCACGCTTGTAATCCCAGCACTCTGGGAGGCTGAGGCAGGAGGACTGCTCAAGGTCAGGAGTTCAAAACCAGGCTGAGCAAGAGGGAGACCCCGTCTCTACTAAAAATAGAAAGAAATTAGCTAGGCGGGAGGATCGCTCAAGAGCGAGATCCTGTCTCTACTAAAAACAGAAAAAATAAGCTGGGTGTGGTGGTGGTGCACACCTGTAGTCCCAGCCATTCAGGAGGCTGAGGCAGGAGGATCGCTTAAGCCCAGGAGGCTGCAGAGAGGTATGATGATGCCACTGTACTCTAGCCAGGGTGACAGAGCCAGACTTCTCAAAAAACAAAACAAAACAAAAACAAAAACAAGACCATAATGCATGCATCAAATATCAGGGAAACTATCTGATGATCAACAGCAACACCGCTGAGTACCTTCTTATTCTACTGTGCTCATAACTATTTTCAAACTGGTTGGTAACTTCACTTCTTCACACAAATGCAACTTTAATTCATTAAAACTCCTGGAATTTCATCAGCTCGAAGCAATGCCAATACAAACAAATGATGCATTTTTAAACTGAAGATTTTGTCACTGCCATGTCATGTTGGCCAATCTACTCATCTGAATTTTCTGCCAAATGCAATGGAAAAAAACAAACTTTATCAGTAACAGCTTGAGATTCACTTTTAGAAGCCTTGACCACACCTAATTCCAAATATGTCATTATAGTTTAGGAATTCAATTAGATATTAGGGATTTTAGACTTTAGGGATTTTGATCATTGGAGATTTTGATCTGTGGGGATTTCAACATTTGGAATTATGGCGTTTGGACCATGTCTCAGGATTACGATGGTACCGGTTGAAGCCCATACCCCTGTTTGATGGTATTCGAAGATGGGCCTTTGGGAGGTACTTAGGTTCAGATGAGGTCACGAGGGCGGGGCCCTCATTGTGGGCTTAGGTTCAGATGAGGTCACGAAGGTGGCGCCCTCTTTGTGGGCTTAGTGTCTTTACTGGAAGAGACACCGAGACCCCGCTCCCTGTCCTCTCCACCACGCAAGGACAGCAAGACGTGGCCACTGGCGGGCCGGGAAGAGGCCCCACCAGAAAGCAAGCCCTGCCAGACCTTGACTCTGGACTTTCTGGCTTCCAGAACTGTGAGCAAACATATTTCTGTTGTTTAAGCCACCTACTCTACGGTGTTTTGTTATGGCAGCCTGAGCCGATTAAAATAACCACCCAGATTGTATACCAAGATTAAAAAAAAAATTGTAGACCTACATGTAAAACCCAAAACTCTACAAGTTTTAGAAGAAAAAAATAGGAGAAAACCTTTGTGAACTTGACTAACCAAAGATTTCTTAGATACAACACCAAAAGCACAACCACCAAAATGGAAAATTGATAAAGTGGTTTCATCAAAATTTAAAACTTCTACTTATTGTTAAAAGAATGAAAAGACAAGCCGCAGACTCAGAAAAAATATCCTCAAGGCCTATATCTGGTAAAGGACTTGTGTCCAAAACATATAAACAACTCCCCAAATTCAATAATAAGAATACAAACAACTCAACAACATACCGGGCAAAGGATTTGAACAGATGCTTTATGAAGAAGATATATGGATGGCAAATAAGCCCATGAAAAGACACTCAACACTACCAGTCGTCACGGAAATGCAAATTAAAACCACAAGGAAATACTGCTATACACCTATGAGATAACTGAACAAGACCGATCACGTCCAGTGCTGGCAAGGATGCGGAGGACCTGGACTCCCAGACATTGCTCCGGAATGCAAAACGGTACAACCGATTTGGAAAATACTTAAAAAGTTAAACATTTTCTTAAAAATGTAAAAATATACCTGCGATATGAACCAGCCCTTTTGCTGCTATTTTCGCAAGAGAAAAGGCTGTACATGTGCAGGTTCTCATGTATGTATGGAAGCTTTCACCTCTAGAAAACCCCTGGCCCCAGCAGTCGGGGAGACGGGTTTGAGGCGGTCCTCTCACTCCTGCCTGACGTCCTGCGCAATAAATCCCCTTTCTTCCTTGACAGTCCTCCTCTCGTCTCAGTAACTGGCTTTCTGTGCAGCAAGCAACAGAGGAAACCCTCTTGAAGGTTCACTGACATTGCTATAAATCTCCAAAACGATTTTCCAAAATATTTATTGGAAAAAAATCCACATATAAATGGACCCGTGCAGTTCACACCCGTGTTGTTCAAAGTCAACTGTGCTATTCAGTAATAAAAACACAGGGACTATTGCTGTGAACAGACAACACAGGTCAATCCCAAGGTAGTTAAGTTGACTAAAAGCAACCAGACCAAAAAAGTATCTTCCATACGATCCCAGTCATATAAAATCCCTCTGCAGGGAAAGTTGCTTGGTGTTGGGGGAAGGGGGTAGCCATTAGGAAACTGGGGGTCACGAGTATGTTCATTACTCTGATTTCGGTGGGTGGTTCACGGGTACACACCCGTCAAAACCGATAAAATCGTGCATCCGAAATAGGTGTTATTTATTGCATGTCAGTTACACATCAACAGAGCTCTTCAAAAACAGATGGTAAATGAGCAAATAACTAGAAATCCCACAAAGTCTCTAGATCTCAGTATGAATTTATAGGAGATTTAGAGACAGAGGGATTTGTTAAACAAGATCAGGGGATGCAATCGGCAAAAGTCTCACTGCCGAAAGCATTCATAGCCAAATTGCCCAACATCTCCAACAAAGTATTTCAAGGAAAAAGATGATGAGGGAATCTATAGATTTAAAGAGATTAATCAACAACTACAATCCGTGAGCCTCCTATAAAGAAACATGGAAGAGAGAGAGGAGAGGGAGACATTTCACCCCTGACGGGGTCCTGGGAGGGAGGACATTGGCATCTTCACAGCCGAGGTATGTGTCCTTCCTGGCGCAGGACTCCACTTATACAAACCCCTGGCAACCACAGACCTGTCCACGGTGACGGGACCGGGTGAGCCGCACACAGAGGAAGGGCTGGGAGGACCTAGCGCTGAGTTCTGAGCAACACACTGTTTTCTTTGTAATTGTTTATATCGCTGGAATTTCTTTATGGAACTGTCAAGCGTAACGTTTACAAATACAATAAAGTCATTTAAAAATTATTCTAAGTCAATGCAGCTATGTAACTGATAAAAGAACATTCATTTATTTTTATTTAAAAAAACATCAAAAGAGGCTGGGCGTGGTGGCTCACGCCTATAATATAAGCACTCTGGGAGGCTGAGGTAGGAGGATCGTTTGAGCTCAGGAGTTCGAGACCAGCCTGAGCAAGAACAAGACCCCATGTCTACCAAAAACAGAAAACATCAGCCAGGCATGGTGGTGCACACCTGTAGTCCCAGCTACTTGAGAGGCTGAGGCAGGAGAACTGCTTGAGCCCAGGAGTTGGAGGTTGCTGTGAGCTAGGCTGACGCCACGGCACTCTAGCTCGGGCAACAGAGTGAGACTCTGTCATTTATTCGTTCATTCATTCATAAATAAAAATAATAATAATGAAAAAAAATCAAAAGAAAAACCAACTTTTCCATGGGCACAAAGCCCGATCCCCCAGGAGGGACTCTGAACCCATACCGGGCACTTGGCTGCTGTGGCCTCCTGTGAAAACCGCTCCGGGGACGGGCTTCTGGTGCTGCCGGAGCGGCTCTGAGCCAGACCCCAGCCGGCCCCTCCAGCTCGGCGCCCGCTCGCGGCACTGAGGCGAGGCGGTTTCCAGCGCGAGGTTTCCAGCGCACACAGGCACGGCCGCTTGGAAGAGCAGCCCCGGGCTGCCGAATGTCCTGAGTTTACTGAAAAGCGCATCACCGCGCTCACCGCACGCAGCTCGACAGCCCGGACCACGCGGCCAGACCACGGCGGATGCCGCACTCCGTGCTCACTCGCCACGACACGGAGACGACACAGCTCTGCCTCTGCTTCCAGAACAGGCTGCTCACGCCAAGGCTGCCCCACGTCTAGTCTCACGACAACACGTCCACTGCCAGGGCCACCCGCTGTCCACACTGCATGTGTCGGCCCTGGCTCTGTGGAACACGTTAGCGTACGTGGAGGCTCTGAAATGCTGCCGTGGGAATTCCGAGAGCTCCCTCCAGCGCTCCGAGGCAACACGTTTTCTCAGCCAGAACTGACATCGGCACCATCGGGTGGTGACATGGCCGGCGTGCAAACGAGCGTGAGGACACAGACCACGGCCCACGGCCACGTCCAGACGGCAAAGGCAACAGACACGGAGCAGGAAGCCCCCCAAACCAAGAGAGGGCCCTGAACCCGCGGTTCCGTGACACAGACAAGGACAAAGGAGCCACCGAGAGGTACCTGGGTCAGAAGCTGGTCGGGCGTCAGCTGGTTGACCCAACGTGTGTACCGTCCAGTGGAGTCAGGGGGGTCTCTCCGTACCTGGCAGCCGATGATCTGTGGGGACCAACAACAACAGAACTTGAGAGAAGGCCGTGTGAGCAGGTGTGTGCACACCTGTACACCATTCTGAGCACGCAGGTCCAGGTAGGAGACCAACTGTGACCCGTTGAATCTGGGTGGGATTGGGCACAGCTGCTGGAGCCAAGGCAAACACGAGGAAGGAAGAGGGAGGGAGAGGAAAGAAGGGGAAGGGAGAGGGAGGGAGAGGAAGGGAGAGGAAGGGAGAGGAAAGAAAGAGAAGGGAGAGGGATGGAGAGGAAGGGAGAGGAAAGAAGGGGAAGGGAGAGGGAGGAAGGGGAAGGAAGGGGAAGGGAGAGGAAAGAAGGGGAAGGGAAAGGGAGGGAGAGGAAAGAAGGGGAAGGGAGAGGAAGGAAGGAGAAGGAAGAGGGAAGGAGGGGAAGGGAGAGGAAAGAAGGGGAAGGAAGAGGGAGGGAGAGGGAGGGAGAGGAAAGGAGAGGAAGGAAGGGGAAGGGCTCCTGTTCCATCCCAGGGACAGGAAGGAGGAGATCTGTGTGCTGGATCCCGCACCAGGCCGTCTTGAATCGTGTCTTAGCAGTGAACAGCTAAGGCTGCCCTTGGCTGGGTTAAGATTATGTCACATGTAACATTTCCTACCTAATATACTGACACTAGAATGACCCATGTGCACAGTCAAAACACCCAAGTATTATTCTAATAACTCACTTCTTGAGCCATAACTCAACGCAGGAGCCAGCAAATCTCCCCAGGGCCGTGGCAGCAACACTCAATCCAGCCTCGGGAAAGCCCTGACCCCAGATAAACAGGACTCCTGTTGGGGGCTCAGCCTCCTCTCCCTGGGCCACCAGACAAGCACCCCCAGATGTCCAGCCAGTGACCCCACCGCCCCTCTCTGCCTCCTCCACACCCGTGTGGCCTCACACAGCTCACTAGACTCATCAGCCTCCTCCTGCCACCCTCAGCCCCAGCCTCTGCTTCCCCTGCCATGCGCACGACCCCTCTCGCTGCCCCTTCCACCCTCACCTGCCCTGCACCAGCCCCGGCCCCGTTCTGCACCAGCCCCGGCCCCATTCTGCTCCTGCCCTGCCTGCCACGGCGCCCGAAGCGTGGATAAACCCCCTGCACGCTTAGCTGCAGGACGTTCCTGCAGCTTGTCCAAACAGCTGCAGATGCTCGGAGGGGAGAGGTCAGGTCCCGCAGACGGTCTGAGGCCTGGACAGGCGTTTGCGCCCGGCAGACGTCAGGGGTCACGCTCGACACCAGCTACAAAGGCAGGAACCAGCCAGTTTCGGAGCAGCCAAGCGCTCCCCCCTCAGCTGGGGAGAGGGCCCCCGAGGGCGTCCGCAAGCAGCAGAGCCACCCCGGGGAGGCCGGGGCTGCCCAGAGCCCACGGGCGGTGCTCCCACAGCCACCTCGCTGAGCGGTGACAAGAGCGTCCAGAGCGTCTCCTGGCCAAGAAGTGACCCAGGCAGCCGGTTCCTCGAATCTCGCTCTGACAGGCGCAGCATTTAAATGCAGCGAGTACTAAGTCTGTGTGGATGCAGTCACAGTAACGAAGAGCTGGGTGCCTTTGCTTGCTCACACTTTTTTGTTGTGGGGTTTTTCTAATTAAACTTTTTATTAATATTTTGAGAAAACTGTGGATGCACCTGCAGTGGTAAGAGACATTCAGAGACCCTGTGCCTTTGCCCCACCTCCTCCTGCAGTCTCGCCGCGCAGACAGGTTGCACAGGGCCACGAGGACCCACACTGCACCGGGAAGGGCCACAAGGACCCACACTGCACCGGGAAGGGCCACGAGGACCCACAGCGCACCAGGAAGGGCCATGGCGTGCTGGGAAGGGCCACAAGGACCCACGCCGCACCGGGAAGGGCCACAAGGACCCACGGCGCACCAGGAAGGGCCATGCCGTGCTGGGAAGGGTCACGAGGACCCACGGCACGCCAGGAAGGGCCACGGCGTGCCGGGAAGGGCCACAAGGACCCACGGCACGCCAGGAAGGGCCATGGCGTGCCGGGAAGGGCCACAAGGACCCACACTGCACCAGGAGGGGCCACGGCACGCCGGAAAGGGCAACAAGGATCCACACTGCACCAGGAAGGGCCACGGCATGCCGAGAAGGGCCACAAGGACCCAAACTGCACCGGGAAGGGCCACGGCATGCCGGGAAGGGCCATGGGGACCCAAACTGCACCGGGAAGGGCCACAGCACGCCGGGAAGGGCCACAAGGACCCACACTGCACCAGGAAGGGCCACAGCGCACAGGGAAGGGCCACGAGCACCCACAGCGCACCGGGAAGGGCCAAGGTGCGCCAGGAAGGGCCACGAGGACCCACGGTGCACCAGGAAGGGCCATGGCATGCCGGGAAGGGCCACGAGGACCCACGGCACGCCGGGAAGGGCCACGGTGCACTGGGAAGGGCCACGAAGACCCATGGCACCTGTCACATCCACAACCTGCTGTCCCAACGAGGCCACCCTGTCCCTCCTAGAACGTGGTATGACTGGGGACAGGTGCAGCTTCTGTGGCTCTCGTGCCCCCCGGCTCTCTGGGAAGTCACCCAGGCTGCTGTGCATAGCAGATGCTCCTTTTTTGGCTGGAAAATATTCCACAGAAGGGGCGTGCCACGGTTCAACTGTGTCCCTACTGGAGGATGTCTGGGCTGCTGCCATTAGTCTGCTATACGCATCATGCACAGACTTGCATGTGAGCGTGAGTTTTCACTCCTCTGGGATGAACATGGTCAGTGTCTAAGAAACTCCAAGCTCCACTCCTCCCAGGGTGGAGGAGGGTGGTGAGGCCGTAGGTACGGGGAAGCACTGCCCTCCCGGGGTGGATGAGGGTGGTGAGGCTGCAGGTATGGGGGAGCACTGCCCTCCCGGGGTGGAGGAGGGTGGTGAGGCTGCAGGTATGGGGGAGCACTGCCCTCCCGGGGTGGAGGAGGGTGGTGAGGCTGCAGGTATGGGGGAGCACTGCCCTCCCGGGGTGGAGGAGGGTGGTGAGGCCATAGGTACAGGGGGAGCACTGCCCTCCCAGGGTGGAGGAGGGTGGTGAGGCTGTAGGTACAGGGGGAGCACTGCCCTCCCAGGGTGGAGGAGGGTGGTGAGGCTGTAGGTATAGGGGGAGCACTGCCCTCCTGGGGTGGAGGAGGGTGGTGAGGCTGTAGGTACAGGGGGAGCACTGCCCTCCCGGGGTGGAGGAGGGTGGTCAGGCTGTAGGTACAGGGGGAGCACTGCCCTCCCGGGGTGGAGGAGGGTGGTGAGGCCATAGGTACAGGGGGAGCACTGCCTTCCTGGGGTGGAGGAGGGTGGTGAGGCCATAGGTACAGGGGGAGCACTGCCCTCCCAGGGTGGAGGAGGGTGGTGAGGCCGTAGGTATAGGGGGAGCACTGCCCTCCCGGGGTGGAGGAGGGTGGTGAGGCTGCAGGTATGGGGGAGCACTACCCTCCCATGGTGGAGGAGGGTGGTGAGGCTGCAGGTACGGGGGAGCACTGCCCTCCCGGGGTGGAGGAGGGTGGTGAGGCCATAGGTACAGGGGGAGCACTGCCCTCCCAGGGTGGAGGAGGGTGGTTAGGCCTGCAGGTATGGGGGACCACCCGGGCCCTCCAGGGTGGAGGAGGGGTGGGCTCGTAGGTAACAGGGGACACTTAACCCTCCCATGGTGGGGTCGGGGGGGCAGTACGGAGGAGCTGGCTCCGGGTGAAGTGTGAGCATGGACAGGGACAGCCTCCCACACAGGGTGACGGGGCAGCTATAGTAGGGAGGCACCGCCCTCACCAAGGGTGGAGGAGGTTGAGCCTGTAGTACAGGGGAAAGCCACAACTCACCAGGGTGGAAGAGGGGTGAAGCATAGTACAGGGGGAGCACTGCCCTCCCGGGTGGAGGAGGGTGGTCAGGCTGTAGGTACGGGGGAGCACTGCCCTCCCAGGGTGGAGGAGGGTGGTGAGGCTGTAGGTATAGGGGGAGCACTGCCCTCCTGGGGTGGAGGAGGGTGGTGAGGCTGTAGGTACAGGGGGAGCACCCACCCTCCTGGGGTGGATGAGGGTGGTGAGGCTGTAGGTACAGGGGGAGCACCCACCCTCCCGGGGTGGAGGAGGGTGGTAAGGTTGTAGGTACAGGGGGAGCACCCACCCTCCCGGGGTGGAGGAGGGTGGTGAGGCTGTAGGTACAGGGGGAGCACCCACCCTCCCGGGGTGGAGGAGGGTGGTGAGGCTGTAGGTACAGGGGGAGCACTGCCCTCCCGGGGTGGAGGAGGGTGGTGAGGCCGTAGGTATAGGGGGAGCACTGCCCTCCTGGGGTGGAGGAGGGTGGTGAGGCTGTAGGTACAGGGGGAGCACCCACCCTCCCGGGGTGGAAGAGGGTGGTGAGGCTGTAGGTACAGGGGGAGCACCCACCCTCCTGGGGTGGATGAGGGTGGTCAGGCTGTAGGTACAGAGGGAGCACTGCCCTCCCGGGGTGGATGAGGATGATCAAGCTATAGGTACAGAGGGAGCACCTGCCCTCCTGCACAACCTATGAAAACTGTCATTAAGGGTCTTGCCTTCCCAATTAAATGTTGTTTTTTGTAAATGGCCTTAAAAATAATGACCAAGTACAAGTGTGCACTCAGCATTCATTTCATTCTTTCAAAACAAACTATACAACATAATTGACCATAACCACCAACTGCAACTACAAATTAGACTTTTGTAGGTCATGATTTAAAAATGAATCCAGCCACACAATGACAACCTTGCTAGAGCCAAATTTGTCTTAGTGCAACAAAGTTATTAAGGCAACCCTGATTTTCACTGAAGAGTCTCAGTGTCGGAGAAACGGCCGGAATACTCCCTTTGTCTGTGTGGTTGGAAGAAAAGTGTATCTCCGGAGAGCAGCATTTCTCTCCTGAATGTTGCAACAGAATATCTAGAGGGAATTTAATCAGAAGGTTTTGAAGTTCTATAACCTAGAACTTTAAAAAAAATAATAAAATGCAAATCAAGGTTGTTTTTTTAAGAATTTAAGACAAACTGACACAGTCTGCATTTTTTCCGCATTCCTGAGCATCCTAAATGTCCCAGTTCATTGGAACCCATGCCTTGGAGAAGCGCCAAGAGCAACTTCATCCATGAAGCCAACTCTTTCATTTTTTTCAGTATGGAAATGAAAGATATGGAAACAAAAACATCTGAAAATGCCTCATTTTCTAAAATGTCAACATTCGTTACAAAATTCTTTGCAAGTTTCCAGTGTACACTTGGAAACCGTCACCTCTAGCTGGTAAGACTCACGCGGATGAAAGTGTGCGATGACTGGCCCATCACACAGACCCGCACTCCCACCCGCGGGCCCAAGGAAGGCCCTGGCGGGATTGCACGCGTAAGAACAGGCCGGCGCAGAGAACCAATGCCTTGTCACTTCCTGACTTCCGTAAGTAGCATTATCGCCCCTCCCAGAGCCAGTGAAATGAACTTCTGGAAATCCCAGTCTCTGCATTTTCTTGCATAAACTGTGCACAGAAATCCATCCTGAGGGACTTTTCCCCATTTTTTCCCCTCTTCCCAACAGAGGAACCAGAGCAAGAAATACACACAGTTTGTGCACCAACCTCTCTGCACGTCACTGAGGACCCCACCGCACCCTGGGGGCCAGGGCAGAACCCCCCACCCCCACCTGGCAACGGGTGGCCTCAGGGCACCACCGCAGCTCACGCGTCCCCACACGAAACATTTGCTGACATCGTCCCAACTAGCAGGGGTAAGAAAGGAAATATCCTAGGAGGGAAAACTTCTAGAAACCAACTTCTGGAGTCCGTGGTAACTACTGCCGTGAACACCCAGACTTAGGCGTATCTGTAGCTCCTAAACTGTGCCGTGTCTGGACCCTGTGGAGAACCTGGTGCGAGCCGCAGACCCTCTCCTGCCCACTGAAACATGCCCCCACAGAAGGCCCCCAGCCACCACAGGGCCGCCGAGCCTCCCAGGACCCTGCACCCCGGACAGAGGCAGCGTGTGACCCCTCTGCTCCCGAGAAGGTCACCCGTGTCTCAGTTTGTTTCCTGTCTGTGTTCGCACACCTGACACACCTGAGATAACACACACCTGAGACACACAACCTGAGACACCCCCCCCATGCAGCTGGCAACATCCCCCACAGCCCAGCCTCCCCAGCCCCTCCCCACATGCCCCCCTCCCAGCAATCCCAGCCAGTCCTGATAAGCCTCCTGCAGCTCACTGGGAAGTGAGACGCCACCTCCTCACAAGACAGCGGCCACCATCCTGAGGGAGGGGCGTGTCCGCGAGGTCCACGTTCCAGGAGGTTTGTGTATGGGGCTGGGAAGCTGGAGGAAGAGCAGGTGCTAAATTTCTTAAAAGCAGAAACTAACTAGGTTGAATTCAGAGTGCCCCAAATCAAGCCTGTTGGAAGGGAAATGAATCACCTGGGAGGAGAAGTCCTCACACCCGGGAGAAGCTCTACCTGAGGAAGAGCATCCCATAAGCTATTTGTGCTGGGAACCCTCACAGCAATCTCGCCAGGGGTGTCTGCTCCGTGGGCAGCTGGGCTCCTGATGCCGCGTGGGGCGGATCCGCCGTGACCAGACCCACCATGACAGGCCCACACCATCACCAGCCCTGCCGTGACCAACCTGCTGTGACGGGCTGAGCGTAGCCAACGCGCCATGACCAGACTGCGCGTGTGGATGTCACGCTCCGCCGTGAGGCGTGGCCGCAGGGCTGTCGCAGGGTGAGCAGCGGCCGCCCCTGCGTGGACACCACAGCGTGGGGCTGGCTCACGGATTTCTCAGTTACAGGAACTGGGGGTCGCCGTCCTAATTCAAAGGTTTCTTCTAAAACTGCAGTGGGAAGCCCTGAGCCGGCAGGAGCCGTGGGATGGCTGGCGCTGGCCTGGGGACCGTGGGCCCTGCAGCTCCCACCTGCAGGGAGGGACTGGGGGGCCGCTGAGGAACGCCCCCACCCGCGGGCTCAGGGAGCAGCCGGGATGCTGTTCTAAAGATGGGAACCGTGGGCAGGGCGCGGTGGCTCACGCCTGTAATCCCAGCACTCTGGGAGGCTGAGGCGGGCAGATCGCTCAAGGTCAGGAGTTCAAAACCAGCCTGAGCGAGACCCCGTCTCTACCAAAAATAGAAAGAAATTAATTGACCAACTAAAAATATATATACAAAAAATTAGCCGGGCATGGTGGTGCACGCCTGTAGTCCCAGCTACTCAGGAGGCTGAGGCAAGAGGATTGCTGAGCCCCGGAGATTGAGGTTGCTGTGAGCTAGGCTGACGCCACGGCACTCACTCTAGCCTGGGCAGCAAAGTGAGACTCTGTCTCAAAAAAAAAAAAAAAAAAAAAAAAAAAAAAAAAAAAGATGGGAACCGTAATCTGAGATTATCTAAATAAGAAAAAGAATTTTTTAAACTACTGACATACCACAGCTCTCAATCTGTTTTCATGTCTGAGGTGCTTTGCTTCGAAAATGCTGATTACAAACAGACAAACCCATCTGAATAAACAAGTGCCATGCAAACAGGAAGCACGTTTTCCTCCCGCCCAGGTATTAGAGACACGCTGGCCACAAATCGCTCTCTGCGATGTGGCCGTCTCCCCATGGACCGATGCTTCTCACCCTAAGGAGAAGTCTTCATTTAAAACCACGGAGGCAATTTCATCGACAGGTGACCACGCGGAGGAGGGGTGAGGACTTACGCTGGTCGGGTGCTGGACGGCAGCTTCGTGTTGCAGCCTCACCCTCTGAGACATCATCACGTCGTCCTACGGGAAGAACACATTTCAGGCTCTCAGAAATCGACTTCCACAAACAAGCAAGGAAAGACGGACAGCCCAACCGCGGACCCAGCAGGAGCCCTGCACGGGCCCTGGGGACGGGAGGGCGTCCAGCAGAGTCAGGACACAAAACACCCTGCACGGGCCCTGGGGACGGGAGGGCGTCCAGCAGAGTCAGGACACAAAACACCCTGCACGGGCCCTGGGGACGGGAGGGCAGAGCCAGGCTGTACACCCTGCTGGCTGCACCGTTGTTTGGGGGGACGTTCGAGCCATCCCGCAGAGCTGAAGCTACACCCCGAGACCGGGAACCTCACAGCGCGGTAGAAGGATTCACGCACGTGCAGGAAGACACACACTGAGGCGTGCAGGGGCCGCATGGAGACAACCGCACGGCCACGAGTGTCGGGTGGAGGAGACACCGGCACACTGTCACGTTCAAACGCCACGCGGCTGTGAAACTCGATCGCAGCTGCACACAACACGAACTGATTCCCCAAACCTGATGTCAAGTGAAAGGAGCAAAAGAATACACATAGCACTGTTCCATTTATCTAAAATCAAAATCGAGTAAAATTAACCATTTTATTTAAAAAATGCACACATAACGCAAACCATGAGATTTTTTTTTTCAAGCTGAAGTTTTATTTAAAATGTAAAAGAAATGGTTCTTGAAAATGCTAGTGAATAAAGCAAAGGATACAGTGCTCATTGCCTACAAGATAGCCAGCCTATCCAAGTACAGGGTAATATACAGTACTTAGTGCTGGTAGAATTTCACAGTAGTTTAGTGTTACAAGATTATCTGGGCCTAGATTATGAAGAGATTCTCAGTGTGTAATGCTTATTTCTGGGTTTACACCTTTACTGAGCGTGAACAAGAGCTCCTGCTCCTTGGCCATAGCCAAATCCCTTTGGCCCAAAGTTCTTTGCATAGCATCCTTTACAATAGATTTCACCTTCTTTTTCAGTCAGAGTTGTTGATTCAAGACTCTTCCCACACTTGGCACATCGAAAACAGTTTTTGTGCCAGGGCTTTCCAGCACCAATTATCTTGGTCACCCTGAGGGCAGCATGGCGGCCTGCGCCGGGGGTGACCGAGGACAATGCAGGACGGGACTGCCCGGCTGCAGGCAACAGGGACTTCTCAACCGACTGGGAGTTACACACACATTTGCTTCATGACTGATCTGTAAAGCGTGTGTTTACGTTTGCACATTTTATGTGGGTGCATTTCCTCTCACAATAAAAAGATGTTTTAAGTGGAAGAAAAACAAAGGTTTGAGTATTTTGTTTAAAGGTATGAATGCACCAAGTAGAACTAAAAGTAACATCATTGGGAGGATATTTACCTTTAAGTTGAGAAGTAAGATGAACTAAAACACCTACATTTATGTCTCTCATTTCAGAAAAATGGACTTAAGAGCATTCTGATAATCCAATGACCCATGAATAAACTGAGCTGAGCTGTGAGAGGAGCCCAGTGGGGCCACGAGAGGGGGAGGAGGAGGGAGGAGGGAAGAGGAAGGGAGAGGAGCAAGGAGGAGGAGGAGGGAGGAGAGAGGAGGAGAGAGGAGGGAGGAGGAGGAGAGAAGAGGAGAAAGGAGGAGTAGAGAGGAGGGGAGGAGAAGAGGGGGAGGAGGGTAGAGGGAGGGGAAGGGAAGAGAGAAATCAAGTGGAGGGAGGAGAGGGAGGAGGAAAGCAGGGAGGAAAGGAGAGAAGAGGGAAAGGAAAGGAGGAGGAAGAGAGGGAGGAAAGGAGGGAGGGAGGAGGAGATAAGGAAGAGAAGGCAGAAGGAGAAGGAAGGAGGAGGAGGGAGGAGATGAAAGGGAGGTAGGGAGGAGAGGGAGGAGGAGGGAGAGGTGAGGGGAGGAGAGAGGGAGGAGGAGAAGAGGAGGAGAAGGAAGAGAAGAAATAAAGGGGAGGAGGATGAGGGAGAGGAGGAGAGAGGGGAGAGGAGAGGAGGAGAGAGAGGTGAGAGGAGGAGGGGAGGAGAAGGATAGGGGAGAGGAAAGAAAGGAGAGGGAGGAAAAGGGAAGAGGAGGAGGGAGAGATAGGACGTAAAGAGAAAGAGGAGGGCTAAACGCACAGCTGGCCAACAATGCCATTCCACAGTTGACCGACTCCCTGCCCGCCCTGAGGACCGCGCGGCAGCAATGAGAAAGTGCCCGGCTCTCGGGACGTCACACACCTGAGGGCAACCCCCCCGCCCCCAACATGGGAGACCGAATCTCTGCCCTCGTGGTCCAGGCCCAGGCTGACGCCTTGGAGCAATCGCGCCACCTCTTCCCGTAACGAAGGTCCAGTCAGGTACCTGCACCTGGTTGGCCCCCAGGAATATCTGCGAGACGTGGAGAACATTATGTCGTGTGAAACAAGCCAGGCACAGAAAGGCAGAGACCGCCCGTTCTCTCTCATACACGGGAGCCTCATGGAGCGGGGAGTGGACCGGGGTCACCTGGTGGGGAGGAAGGGAGGGCTCGCGGGCACAGTGATGGTCAGGGGAGCAAGATCTGGGTCCAGAGGAAGGCGCTGCACGAGGAGACACGGCGCCAAGGCTGCTGACGGGCACTCGGACGCCACTGGGTCAGCAGGCCTGGCCGACCCTGACAGGGGAAGCAGGACGGCTATGCTACGTGGCGGTGAGTGTTTGGTGTGACATTACCACGGCCTGTGACCGCAGCGGAGGGAAAACACAACGATCCAGTCCAGGCGGGACCACGCCTGGCCCGGACCCCATGTGTAGGAGCGAAGGTTTGGGGCACCCCACAGGCAAAGAGCCACGGCTACTGAGGACGAAGGGAGCACACAGCGGGCGTGGGAGGCGGTGGTCACGAATGCCAGCCATTCGACGGGCGCAGAACGGGGACTCCACCTGTCACTAGCATTTTCTCTTACTTTGTTATGAATACTGTGAGTGTGTGTGTGTATGCATAAAGCAAACACATCTTTGCTTTCTTTCCCCCTTTATTCCCTTATCATGTAACATAAGACAGCACAAGTATAGATACTTTTATGCATGCTTGTATTTAATTGTTGTTTATTTTACATCACAGTGTTTATGTTTTGTGGTATAAAGAGAACAGCAAACACCACTCAAGGATTTTACTTCCTGTTATGGGAAAGGGACTGTGCATGTTAGGTGTGTGTGGGATTGCGGCATCCTGTCAGGTGGAATTACGACCTTACCACTGTCTTTATTCAGAGATCAACGTGTTTGAGGAAGTGTGCGTGGTGTCCAGGTGACGAGGGGTGGACTGCGATGGCTGGCTGTGTGCCGACTGGATTGGGCTAGGGCTGCCCAGACAGCTGGGAAAGGAGACAGTCTGGGAGGAGGGAGTTTCTGGACAAGATTAGCATTTGGATCAGACGGAGCAGAGATCACCCTCCCCGGAGCCAGCGAGCAGCGTCCAGTCTATCGAGGGTCTAAATAGAACAGAAAGGTGAAGGAAAGGTGACTCTGTTCTCCCTGCTTAACCGGGACGGCCACCTTCCGTCCTCGGACAACGAGCTCCCGTGCTGGGGCCTCCGACTGCCCAGGGCTCAGCCAGGGGTTCCGCGTCTCAGGCCTCCTGTCTCCTACACCAGCGGTTTCCTGGCCCAGCGTGCAGACAACAGAACATGGGACGTCTCAGTCTCCACGGTCGCTCGAGCCAATCCCTCGTAACCAACCACTTTCTGCATTTCTCTATACATCCCTCGTTGGTTCTCTTTCTCTGGGGAGTTCAGATTAACCAAGATCCCAGTTTCACAGTTTTCAAGGATCTACGCAGAAAGCAAAAGTGCTCAGCATTCCCCAGTTCTCGAGAAGACAGGGAACTTCCAAATATGATTTTCTGCCACTTCTTCTACTGGAATCATCTCCCCTGCTGGCTGTTCGGATAAAGTCAACATCTGCAAGCATAAAGTGAACACTGAAGACATTGACATACGGACCAAAAAGCTGAGAAATGCAAGGATGAATGCAGTGAGCAAACATTCAAGCCAAAAAATGAATAGCAAAGCAGGTACTCAAACTACTCAGAATGTACAGTGACTCTGTTGATTATAAATAAGCTCCTTGTTCTCCAAGACTGTTTTGAAAGAGGAAAAAACTTGCTGAAAGATGGGAGAATGAAAAGGTCTTTATTGCACATGAAAAGCAACGGGATATTTTCATAACAAGCCCAGATGTGTTCTTCCAGGGGGGCTGTGACCCCACCACCTCCGCCAGAGCCCCAGGCCCCCTCAGGACCCGGGAGGGGCCTGCTCAGGTCAAGGTGCACGGTGCTCACAGCTAGTGCCAGATACCAGTCAAGGTGCACGGTGCTCACAGCTAGTGCCAGATACCAGGCGCTGACTCCAGCAAACGCCAGCTGGTGTTCGAAATGCAAAGGAGAGGAGCTAAAAGGACAGACACAAAAGGTTGTTAAGCATGAACTGCAAAAGCAAACTGCATTTCAAGTGCCATCCTGAGGTGTATGTGGAGATGGTCTTTCCTTACAGCGTGACGGGGGCTTCAAAAACCCCATCATTGGTTTGCCGGAATGTGTGCAAGATTCCCAGACTGGCTAAAATTCTGCAATGACAACCAGTTAAGAAACGCTCTTGGCAGGCTAGGGAGAATAATTTTGACGTATTTATTATAAAAATAACATTAATTCGGAATGAAACACTGTTTCCTTTCTGACTAAAAATACTGGATGGGAATAGGCTGCTTTAGCCAGAGGATCCGAGTCCGGGGCTTCTGCGTGAGGCGCCCGGCTGGAGCGCGGCCCTGTGCCGGGAGGGGCGCTGGCGTTCCGTCAGACGCAGGGCCTGCGCCCACCTGAGGGTAGAGGAGGGACGTGTAGGCTTCACCGACTCAGCGTCCAGCCCCGTCCTGGAGGTTGGGAGGCTGGGGTGCGGCTGGAAGTTCAGGCTCCTGCTCGAGGTCTGGGTTTTCAGGGCCCCGCGTGCCCTGCCTGAAGCGGTCCGGGGGTCTCCTCCTTAGACAAAGTCGCTCCCAC